GAACCATTTTACCTTGTTGTGATCCCATTTGTTCATTTCTGCTTTGGTTGACTGTGCCTGTGGAATATTACTCAATAAACCTTTGCCAAGACCAGTGTCCTGGAGAGATTCTTCCAAAGTTTTCTTTTAATAGTTTCATAATTTCAGGTCTTAGATTTAAGTCTTTAATCCATTTTGATTTGATATTTATATACAGTGAGAGATGAGGGTCTGGTTTCATTTTTCTGCACATCAATATCCTGTTTCCCAGAAGCATTTATTAAAGAAAATGTTCTTTTCTCAATACATGTGCTTGGCACCTTTGTCCAAATTGAGTTCACTGAAATGTGTGGATTTACTTCTGGGTTCTGTGTTCTGTTTCATTGGTTTGTGTGTCTATTTCTGTGTCAGTACCATACTATATTGGTTACTCTGTAGAATAATCTGAAGCCAGGTAATGTGATTCTTCCAGTTTTAGTCCTTTTGCTTAGACTAGCTATGGCTATTCTGGGTCTTTAGTGGTTCCATATATATTTTAGGATTGTTTTTTCTATTTCTGTTAAAAATGTCATTGATACTTTGGTAGAAATTGCATTGAATCTGTAGGTTGCTTTGGGTAGTACAAACATTTAAAAAATATTGATACTTCCAATTCATAAACATGGAATATCTTTCCATTTTTGTGTGCGTCCTCTTCAGTTTCTTGTGTCAATGTTTTAAAATTTTCATTGTAGATATCTTTCACTTCTTTGGTTAAATTTATCCCTAGGTATTTAATTTTATTTATAGCTATTATAAGTGGGATTACTTTCTTGATTTCTTTTTCAGATGGTTCACTTAACACAGAAATGCTACTGATTTTCGTATGCTGATTTTGTTTCCTGCAGCTTTACTCAATTTATCCGTTCTAATATCTTTCTGGTGGAGATGTTGCTTTTCCAAATGTAAGATCATTTAATCTGAAAAACTAGGATAATTTTACTTTCTTTCCAATTTGGATGCTCTTTATTTCTTTCTGGTCTGATTGCTCTAGCTAAGACTTTCATTACTATGTTGAGTAACAGTGGTGGAAGTGGGCATCCTTGTCTGGTTCCAGATCTTAGCAGAAAGGTTTTCAAGTTTTCACCATTCATTATTATAGTAGCTGTGTTTCTGTCATATATGGCTTCTATTATGTTGAGATATGTTCTTTCTATACTCTGTTAAGAGTTTTTATTGTGAAAGAATGTCGAATTTTATCAAATGTTTTCTCAGCATCAGTTATCATTTTTTGTCATTCTTTTTGTTGATACAATGTATCACATCGATTGATTTGCATATGTTTAACCATCCTTGCATCACTGGGATAAATCTTGCTTTGTCACAATGAATGATCTTTTTAATATGCTGTTGAATTCTGTTTGCTAGTATTTTGTTAAGGACTTTTGCATCAGTGCTCATCAGATACATTGGTCTGTAGTTTTCTTTTACAGATGTGTCTTGGGCTTTGGTATTAGGATAATACTGGATTCAAAGAATGGCTCTGGAAGTATTCTCTTTTCTATTTTTTCAGAATAGTTTAGAGCTGTTCTTAGTTCTTCTTTAAGTGCACAGTAAAAATCAGCAGTGAAGCCATTGTCCCAGACTTTTCCTTGCTGGAAAACTTTTTATTAAGGCTTCTATTTTATCACTGGTTATTGGTTTATTTAGGTTTTTGATTTCTCATGGTTCAATCTTGGTACATTGTATGTGTCTAGGAATTTATCCTTTCTTCTAAGTTTTCCAATTAATTAGTATGTAGTTCCTCATAGTACAAAGTTTTTGTCCTATGATTTCTTCTTGAAGTTTTATTGGTTTTACATTTATATATAAACTCAACCATTTTGAGTTGTTTTACTAGGTGGTGTTACATATGGGTGAAAGTGGTGTATGTGCATGTGTGTTTCATATAGATATCCAATTTTTCAGGCACGATTTGTTGAGAAGATTACCTTTTCCGTACAGAATTGCCTTTGAAACTTTCTCAAAAATCATTTGTTCACATATGTGTGAGTGTGCTTTTTTATTCTGATTGCTAAGCATCCATGTTTAGTTGTAATCAAGAAATGTATGACTAAAATTTAAGAAAAGTGCAAAATGAGAATAGCAGTAATGCAGCATGTTAGATAAGAAAGAGATTACTTTGATGTAATCATGGAAGAATTCTCAAGGAAAGTGAGAGTTATGAACTGAATTATTTCCCCCACCATCCAAATTCACATGTTGAAGACCCAACCTCCAATATGATGCTATTTCAGAGATAAAACCTTTGGGGATGTAATTAAGCTTAAGGTCATAATGGTATGACTCTAATCCAATAGGATATGTGCCACTATAAGAAGAAGAAAACACCAGAGAGCTCTCTCTGTCTGCATGTGCACAGCAGAAAGGTAACATGAGGTTGTAGCCACAAAACAGTGGCTATCTGCAAGCAAAGAAAAGAGCTCTTACTAGAAACTAATCCCTAATCCTGATGGTACCTTGATCTTGGACTTCTAGCATCATAAATAAATTTCTGCTGTGCAAGCTATCCAGATTGCGGTATTTTTTATGGCACCCCAAGCAGACTAATACAGTGGGATCTGAGAAGCTGTTGAGGAACTTGACATTGAAAAACTTGAGTCTCTACTGAATGTGTTTATGGACCCTTAGTTCCACTAATTGGAGCACTGCACTAAAAAGATAAAAGTTTCAAACGAGTTGCTTTCAATTATAATGGCTTTGTCATTGCATACATCTGACAGTATTTAATTGACCCAGGTCAGACCCCCATGAATAAAACAGGGAGACAGTTTGCTTTCCAGAGAAACTTTCAGCCTAATTAATACAAATACATTATTATTACTGGAGAAAATGGGCATAGCTTAATGAAAGCCAATTAGTAGAACTAACTACCTTTGTTATCAAACAAAATAATTTTTGAGATTGTGGAAACAAGAAGTAGGAAGATTGACTTTGGACTTAGAAGTGATATATCTGGAACAAATGATTTCACATTAATATTGTGAAAATGGGACAATACCAGTCTCCTTAAAAACAAGAGTACCTACAGTTGTTGAGAGCTTTTAATGTAAAAGAATAACCAATACACAAAGAATTTCACATTAGACTATCATAATTACTCTAAGTATGAGCCACTGGTGAGCAAAATTAAACTTATCTTTGGGGCTGTGGAAATAATTCTTAAAAGAGATGGATGGAATTTGACCTGGTCTTGAGAAGTAGCACTGAGAAAGCAGATAGCGGAGGAAGTATCATAGCTAAAGGAGACAGCATGGGCTAAGGAGGAAAAAAGCAAGCAAGTGCTGATCCTGAGGAGACTGGTGGTTTAAGAACTGAAATTTTAGGGAGAAAAAGAGGTAGTCAAGAGAAATGACTGCAAAGCTTTTCAGAACTACAGGCAAATTTTGTATTAATGATACATTTTCTGAAGCATTATGGGATCATAATAACTCCTTTCTCCCAAATTAGAAGACACATTTTCCACAAAGTTCTATATTTATCTTGATTATTTAACATTTCTTCTTATGTATTTATATGCAAAGTGTATACTTGTAAGTGAAGCCCAGTGGGATAATGGAACATGTGCCAAGGGCTTGTTGCCTCAGGTCATGTGTGGTCCTGTCCAGACAGCCTCCTGTAGTAGAGACTCTGGTTTCCTGCTCTCCTGTCCCCACTCAGCAACTGCTGCCACCTTGCTCCAGTGCATGCACTCTTACCTGAGTCTTGGGGCAGGGCTCTCCCTCTTAACCTAGTGTCTCTGTACTTTAGAGAACATCACATTAAATAGTCAATAAAAAACACCACGAAGAGTCTAGAGGAACTATGGAAGAAATTTCCTGCATTTTGAATGAAGGGACCTGGATTTTCATTTTGCACTGTACCCCACATATTATGTAACTGGACCTGAAATCCTGTAGCAGTGGCCAGTCCCAGGCAAGTAACTCTGGGCAAGGCACTTGGTGTCTCTAAAGTCAATTTCCACATCTGTAAAATAACAGTTTAGAGCAGAGTAGGGTGGCTCACGCCTGTAGTCCCAGTTATTTGAAGCTTGAAATTAGAGGACGGCTCCGGCCCAAGAGTTCTAGGCGGCAGTGAGAGCTATGACTGTGCCACTGCACACCAACCTGGGTGATAGGGAGAGACCGGGTCTCTAACAAAATAATAATAAAAGAATAATAATTCCTATCTTGTTGGATTTCTGTGGAGATTTGAAGCTAATTTATGTAAAGCTCTTGGGACAACACTTGACACATTTTAATGGTTAATACTAGAAGGTTCTGACAATTACATATTACCTAATTCAAACGCAATCCCTTCCGTTTCCTATGCCTGCCGGCTAATATTTCTAAACAGCCATTCACACAGGCAGAAGCAAATGTGCATTCTGGTTTTGTTTCAAATGTTGATTCCCTAAATTTAAACCTTTCTATAGTGTGCAGGAAAAAAATGTCCACACCTCAGCTAATGTGAGGTTGGAACAAAAAGCTGTCAGGATCTAAAAAGGCACGTTTCTTAGAAAAGCAGAAATCTTCACAAATACTAGATTTTTAAAATGGAAGCAAAAATTCGTTCATTCAAGTGCTTGATCACTCCACAAGAGCTCTTTCACCGCCGTCGAGCGACCCCTCGCCATTAGGAGAGAAAAACCAAGGCCAGTACAATGCGGGCGCAGTGTACTAAACGAACACACACACACACACACACACACACACGCATAATCTTGAAAACCTTGACGTTGCCCAGCGGGCGCGGTGTACTAAGCGAACACAGACACACACACAGCGGGCTCAGTGTACTAAGTGAACACGCGAACACACACACACCCCTTGAAAACCTTGACGTTGACACACACACACACACACACACACACACACACACACACACCTTGAAAACCTTGACGTTGCCCAGCCAGCAGCCCGTCTGGTTTCTATAGGAACGCGCACTTCCGTCGCGTTGCTCTCTGCACCGGAAGTTGCTCTAATTCAGTTCCTGTTTTCCCCTCCGAGCGTCAACGTTTCTTTTTCCCGGGCGGCAGCTAGAGCAGACGGCGGATGAGTTTTGGGCCTGAGAGGCCCCCGTTGAGAGGCGTGGCAACTCAGCCGAGATCTGACAGGCCCAGTTCACGTGCAGGCGGCGGCGGATCATATTCCTCCATTTACCATGGCTCTGCCGGGAACTCTGAACCTCAATAACGAGGTAAGCGCCGAGGCTGAGGAACCTGTGGGGCTGACTTTGAGGGTACTCAAAATCAGCTCTTCTGAGACGCGTGGTCGGAGGCGGGGATAAAGGGTGCGTCTGGAGGAACTTTCGTGATGGGCCCAGGCCGGTTTCCCTCAACTTGGAGTTTGGCAACCGGTAATTTCCCTTCTCCGTCTCTAGGTGACTAAAGTGAGAGACATTTGTCAGGTCCCACGAATTTATGTCTATGAGACTTTGGGAAGATCCTTTAGCCTGTGTGTTCAATATTCTTGTCCGTAAACCCTGGGACAAGTCCCAGGGCTGTTGTGAGATTAACTGAGATACGTAAAGTGTTTGCAAGTGCCTGATCCTTAATAAGCTTTCAGTACACATTACCAGCTCCTTATTGCCTGTCAAAAATGAAGGGGAGAAATGAAGAGCTGTAGCTTCTAAGAAATTGCTGATTTTCAATGAGACTGTATGCTCAGTACTTCGTTTCCTCCTCCAGTTACCGTCCTATTCCTTTACTTCCATTTACAGCAGAGCTTCAATAAAGAGCTGTTTGTATTTGCTGTCTCCTATTCTTTTTTTCTGCTTGTTTCTTCAGTCCATTCTCATCAGATATTTGTTCTCACCACCGTCACTTCCATATAGTGCTAATGTCAACAAAATACTATTTCTACCACTTACCGCCTTCTGGTTTCTGCCTCTATCTAACGAAGTAATATCAACCGAAGTCTTAAAGTAAGCTGGAAACGTAAGGATCGAGTAAGGACCTTACAGTTACATACAGCAAGGAAGTTCTTTGTCCCATGTATGAGCAAGTCACTGTTTAGATTACACACAGTAGTGTAAGGGATGTTTCATATTTTCTAGTAAACTATACTCAAGAGAGCTAAGCAACACCCACCCATGTTACAGAACAATGTGTGAAGAATATCCCCAAGAACTAGTAATGCAGAAAGGTTTTCAAAGGCGGAAAAATGAAGTGGTTGATGTTTGTCCTTGGTCTTTAAGGATCTTAGACAGGAACTGCAGTCAGTGATTAGGTAAAGGGGAAGAAGTTATTCCAGGCAGAGGGACTAATATAAGCAGGAAAGGGGTAGTAACAGAAAAACCTGTGAGTAATATAGGAATAGGTAACTCTTGACTGACGGGAACTTGATGTGAACTCCAGTGGAGTACTGGATATGCTGATGAGGGAAGCTGAAAAGAGTTACTGTTTACTCATAAATGTGCATCAAGTTTATGCTTTGTGCCAGAAAGCATTTGGTGGGCTATTTTCCATGAGGTTACCTGTGATGTATGAAAGATCAAAGTAATGTCCTTGGGATTTCAACGCTAGGGAGCATCATATCAAATTTTGTAATGACTTTGATGATGGAAATGACAGGGAATAAGTCATTTAAGACTCTTTTTCCACTTAGCTAACTTCAGTTCTTTTCAAAACAGTTAAAATTTGACCTTTAGGAAACCTTCATTAACTCACCTCAATTTGGATTATGTGTCTTTTCTTTGTGCCCCCAAATTGCTTTCTCCTTTGGAAACACTTATGTACCTATTTCTGTCTTCTGTGTTTTTGTGTCTATCATGTATAACATACGATTAAATGAATTTATGAAATCAGGAACTACACACATCCACCACTGAAGTCTAGTGTGTTCTAATGTGAAGGTGATAAAAAGGACAGAAAAAAGTGGAGATGATGGAGGATATAATTTAAAATAGTGGAAAAACCACAAAAGGAAAGACAGTTATAGATTTATCTGCATAAAAATTGAATAACATACCGAAGAAAGAAAAAGGACAACCAACTAGAAAAAAAAATACAGCAAATATGACAAAGGCCCAGTGCCCTCAATATAAAATACCACATAGAAATTAAGAGGAAACCATCTCAGAAAATAGGCAGAAGAAATGAATTAACGACTTCTTCAAGGAGAAAATGTATCTAAAAATAATTTGAATTCACTTTCAGATCATTTCTTTTCCATCACCACTAGAATCCTAGTGCAGCTACTGTAGTAGCCTCCCAGCTACTTACATTGACTCTTCTCAGACTTTAATCTTAATATCTATACTGCAGCTAGAGTGCTGTCTACAAAACATAAATCTAATCTGTCATTCCCTTGCTTAAAATCCATTTAAGGCCGGGCACAGTGGCTCACACCTGTAATCCCAGCACTTTTAGGAGGCTGAGGTGGGTGGATCACTTGAGAGTTCGATATCAGCCTGACCATGGAGAAACTCTGACTCCACTAAAAATACAAAATTAGCTGCGTGTGATGGCGCATGCCTGTAATCCCAGTACTTGGGAGGCTAAGGCAGGAGAATTGAACTAGGGAGGCAGAGGTTGCAGTGAGCTGAGATCACACCATTGCACTCTGGCCTGTGCAAACAAGAGTGAAACTCTGTCTAAAAAAAAAAAAAAAATCCATTTAAAAGCTTCCTGTTACTTTTGGTACAAAAGCAATACAAACAAGGGAGATCTTTCCACTTTCTGTTACCACTTTTTTCCCTCAGTCTGTGTATTTCATCTACATTGGCTTTCCTGTACTACCTGGCATAACCATCTGCAGTTCTTTGCACATGCTCCTTTTTCTCTCATTAGTTCATTTAATACTTAATCCTGCTTCATTTGTTATACTTCATTTGTAATAGTGTTTTGTATATGTGAGTCTGTGTGTCTGAGACAAGTTTCTTTCCCCTTCACCTGACTGTAAACTTTTGTTCACCATCATATTTCCAATACCTATATGTTGAAAGAATAATGAGAGGCATCGTTTTCATGATCCATAATATCTTAGATTAACTCTTCTTTTTTTGTTCTCCCCACCCCCGATTAACTCTTCTTAACTAGGATTTAAGGATGCATTTCAAAGGGCCTGTAACTGCCTGAAATTATTTGTAAATTTCTGTTTGTATGTCTCTCTCTTGGGAAAAGAGCCCCTATGTTTCATTAGATTTGCAAAGGTTTATAAATCTTTAGCGCTGTCTTTGGGCTATTTGTACTAATGGCTATAATTTTATTTTATAGGAACCCTTGTTTCATAATTTTTAATCACAACGTTTTCTTTACAAAAGGTATATGGCAGTCTCATTTTACAGTGTATTTAATTTCCCAGAGTGTCTTCTGAGAAAATAAAAGCCTGCCTGCAGAGGCACCCATTATGTTGTGCTGACTTTTAATATTTCCTACCCTTAATAATTATATTCTTATAAAATTTTTTTTCCAAAGATAGACGCTGACCAATTTGGTAAGTACTTCCTGACTCCAGGTTCTTAGAGTACATTTACTCTTGTGAACTAAAGTAGAAATTTATCTTTACTTTTCTAAAAAATAAACCATCACTTTTTACTTTATGTTGATTGTTTGTTGCATATTTTTGGTACTTTGAAGAGAGAATTTTTAATTCCTTTTTATAGCAGCTTCCCTCGCCTCCAGCACAGTACCATGTCTACAGGTAATAAAGTAAATATATATTGGGCAGATGAAAGCATGGATAGCATAATTGTCAACTAATGTTCAAATGAGAGGGAAAATCTCCTAAATGCTGACTTTTTTTCCCCTCCCTTTTCATTATAACTAGAAAAGGAGAAATGCACAATTGAAAACAATAGTGCCATAGTATTTAGTGAGTAAATATTTTGCAAAACTAGAGCTAGATTTTTCTCAAGTCATCTGTTTTCTTTAGGCAGCAGTGGTATGTAAAAATCAGAATTAGGAGATGAAGCAATCTGATGGGGTACTTTAATTTCACAGAAAGGCCAAAGGCCTATGTATAAAACTGGCATTATTTTATTCTTTGATAGCAAATTACCAATAAGCCCATTAGAAAAATTGCTTTCATTTCTTGTGAGACAGTAAAGATAGAAACTAAAGTGCAAGAGAACAAAATGAGTTTCCTCCACATACGGTAAAACATAAGAATGCCAAGAACCATATTTGTTTGCACTTATGAAGTTACAAAACTCCTATGTCATGTTTAGGTACATAGTACTTTTTAATAATTTTTTTCTGAAATATTAAATTAGAGGCTGTTTGTAAGAAAACCAGTTTGTGTTTAGTTATTAAACTGTTCGGGGAAGTTTTGCTAGGTGGCAGCATATGCTCAATAATGGTTAAATTGTAGATAATTAGTAAGCACTCTAGATTTTTAAAAAATTGTTGCTCATCAGAAATAAAAGTCTAATCAACATTAAGTTATCATCCATGTGACAAAATTAGGGTCCTCTTTATAAAACAATAATTTTGGCCAGGCACAGTGGCTCACTCTGTAATCCCAGCACTTTGGGAGGCCGAGGCAGGCAGATCACTTGAGCTCACAAGTTTGAAACCAGCCTGGGCAACGTGGTAAAACCCCATCTCTACAAAAAATACAGAAAAATTAGCCAAATATGGTGGCACATGCCTGTAGTCCCAGCTACTCGGGAGGCTAAGGTGGGAAGATGGCTTGAGCCCAGCAGCTGGAGGTTGTAATGAGCCAAGGTCTCTTAACTGTGCTCCAGCCTGGGCAGTAGAGCCAGACCTTGTCTCAAAAAGAGACAAAAAAGAAACCCAAGGATTTTCTTAAGTATAAAATACTTCAAACATATGGAAAATAATGTAACATGTTCTCGTAATCTATTTTGTATTGTTTAGGAAATGTCAGTGTTTTGCTATATCTTAATGTTTAATTCTACCCATCTTCTTTTCTACCTCAGAGGTAATTATTATTCTTGGTGTGTGTTTTTCTCTTCTACATTTTTCACAATTTTAGTAACATACATATCTATACGCAGTGTATAGTATTGCATTGTAGACTTTTAAACTGCATATTTCTTTACAAATTATGGGGGTTATGTTCCAAGACCCCCAGTGTATGCTTAAAACTTCAGATAATACCAAACTCTGTCTTCAGTATTTTTTTTTTCTGTACAGTAATGGGCAGGTAACAGCTACAGCAGGAATACACTGGGCAAAACTATGGTTTACATCCTGTATGGGATGGAGTAGTACAGTGAGAGATTTCATCATGCTACTCAGAGTGGGGCACAATTTAAAATTTATGAGTTATTTAGATTTGGAATTTTTCACTTAATATTTTTGGATCATGTGTCCGACTGCAGATAACTGAAACCACTGACAACAAAATTGTTGGTAAGCGGGGACTACTGGGGACTACTGTATTTTATTTACCAGTGTTACTTTTCAAGGTTTATCTATGTAATACCTACAGATCTTCTGCATTGATTTAAAATACCACGTTGCTATATGCTTTATTATTATTTACAAATTTATACATTATTTTCTTTCTCATGCTACATTTTGTTAAAATGCTGCAATGCATAATCTTGTGTGTAGCCTTTTCCTATTGTTGAGAATGTGTCTTCTGAGTAGATTCCTAGAAGTAGGACATTTGTTAAAAAGTATAGCCAAGGTTTCCTTCAAAGTAGTAAACCAGTTTGCATTTTTACCAGCAGTGTATTTGTTTGCTCACAACCTCATATACAGAATGCATTATCATAGTTTTTTTGTATTTACTAATCTGATAGGTAAGTAATGAATAACCAGAAGTTTTAATGTATTCTTTTTTTTTCTTTTAAGGCAGAGTCTCGCCCTGTTGCCCAGGCTGGAGTGCAGTAACATGCTCTCAGCTTACTGCAGTCTCTACCTCCCGGGTTCTCCTGCCTCAGCTTCCCAAGTAACTGGGATCACAGGTGCCTTCCACCACGCCTGACTAATTTTTGTATTTTTTTAGTAGAGATAGGGTTTCACCAGTCTGGTC